TGGCTGCAATATAACAAAGAGTGAAAAATTGAAGGGGGTCTGAATACTTTCCGTACCCACTGTATATATATACTACATTTAACACACAGTCATGCATATATACACAATTATTAGCAAGTATACGCAAGTTAAGGTGTGATTGTCGTATGGCTCTTACCTTTTTTAGGTTTAGTTTTTATGATGGGTTTCGTCGGTTTGTTGGCTTTACCATCCTCTATGTCATATAGACGCTTGATCTTTAAATTGAACAAACAGTCTTCGTTAAAAACTCTTCCATTGCTAGTTACAGTATTTCAGGCAGCTTTTGCATGTGTGTAGGTGTGCGTCTAGGACTGTGTGTTTGACCTGCATGGGTTTCATCAAGGACAGGTTGGCATTCGGGTAACGTGTGGATGGATCGATGCTGTAGGCGGCGTAGTTCTTGCTGGTGTTTTCTGGAGTCGTTTGAGAGAGTAACTGATACACGCTCTCCCTGTAAGAGATACGCACAGCATCAACTGACCCATACATGCATTTTATATGGTTTTATATTGATACATACAGTTCATAAGTTCGGGGTGGATAAGATTTTAAAGTTTTTGATAACCAAGCCTGCATTTATTTGATCAAAAATGTAGAGTAAAAACGTTAATATTACAATTTAAAATAGCTGATTTTTATTTAAATATACTTTAAAATGTAATTTAATCCTGTGATGCAAAGCTGAATTTTCAGCATCATTACTGCAGTCTTCAGTGTCACATGATCCTTCAGAAATCATTCTAATATACTGATTTGCTGCTCAAGAAACATTTCTTATTATTATCAATGTTGAAAACAGTTGTGCTGCTTAATATGTGTAGAAACTGAGATAATTTTTAAAAGGATTCTTCAATAAATAGAAAGAAAAAAAGAACATAATTTATTTGAAATATAATTTTTTGTAATATTATAAATGGTGTAAAAATGGTAAATTGTACCTCCCCGCCAACACCTCCAGGGGTGGCACACCTTTTCCCCAACTCCTGACCATCCACGCCGTGTCAAATGCAGCCAGGAAACCACGAGCAATGCCCGTACCCAGAGGCCAAAACGGCTGCAGAAGAATACATAAATAAAATAAAATACAATTTAAAATAAATAATTTAAAAAAGAAAATAAACAAATAAAAATTTAGTAGTATTTAAAAGTAAAAATAATAAAATTAAATAAAACAAATCATGGCCGATATTTATATTTAGCTGATGTTTTACTTAGTTTGATGGCCAATACATTGTTTGACTGTTGTACTGTTTAAACAGTGTTTACAATAAAATTCTAATTTTCCATAGAATGATCACACAACATTATAATAAAAACTATTATAATAAATATTATAATAAAAAAAAGACACTGTAGTAGCCAGTGTTGCCAACTAATTTTCAGAGAAAGTTGCTAAAGGAAGGTTGATTTGGTGCTAAAAGTTGCTAAATGACGTTGTGATGTCATTGCGCGATGAAGTCATTGCGTAATCACGATGCAAAATTGTCACAACATCAAATCTCAGCAAAAATATATATTTTATGTTAACTTAGATTTGTTTGTAAAATAATATGCATAATATAATATTAAAATATAAATAACTGTATTTTTAAATACATTGAATTATTGAACACCTACACATTTTTGAATGATTACAATTTAAGTTTTTTTTAATAGCTAGTAAACTAGCTAATACTACACATTCTCAACCATTATGCTTTAAGCAGTGTATTAGTAGTTAGTTAGTATGCTACACTCTAAGAAAAGTCTGTAAACATAGGGCACAATCTATATGTTAATAATATGAAAGAATTTTCTGTATTGGTTTTTTACCTGCATTTTAAATTACGCATTGTGTTTTCGGGTTACAGGGTTACAATGGGTAATGGGTAATGTCCTGGAAAATTACTAATATCTTTTCTGTACAAGCTACTAACAAAGTGTATCATAAATGAACAATTATTCAATTATTATTACTATTAAATTGAACAATTGCAAATAGCAGCTAACTCAATTCACGTGGTGTGTGTAGTGCTAGTCATCTTTGATTTCCTCTTTTTGTGTAACTTTGGATGGAAAATGTGTGCCTTTTTATTGTCTGAGTCACTTATCAAAAGTTGCTAAAAGTTGCCAAATAAATGTTAAAAATTGCTAAATTTGTTGCTGGGTGCTTTTGGAAGAAAAGGTTGCAAAGATAGTCTGAAAAGTTGCTAAATTTAGCAATAAAATTGTTAAGTTGGCAACACTGGTAGTAGCCCAGATTGAAAAATATAGTTCTGAAATAGAAAAAAAAAAAAAAAGACCTTATATTATTTGCCTTCATTATCAGTCTAATGTCATAATCAGCCACTCTGTTTACTCATAACACACCTCTACTAGAGAGTCTCCCACCAGCGCGATGAGCAGTCTCTTCCCCTTCCTCTCCTTCACCAGAGAGGCGTTCTCTGCCCTGTGCATGCAGGTGAAGTCAAACATGGCCACATCCGGATGGCCCGCGTGGTTCTTGGCGAACTCCAGGTCTGGCAGCATGTGATCTGTGGAGAAGTCAGCGGCGTCATATGCGTACTTCTGCAGGGCCTCCTGGTTGACGTTTGCAGGTGCGAGCAGCTGATTGACATCAGAAAAGTCCTGAGAACGAGAAGCAAGAAAGGTTTAATGCTAGTCCTGTTGTTTCAGCATTGATAATAATCAGAAATGGTTCTTGAGCAGCAAATCAGCTTATTACAATGATTTCTGAAGGATCATGTGACACTTAGGGCTGGAGTAATGATGCTGAAAATTCAGCTTTGCATCACAGGAGTAAATTGCATTTTACACTATTTTTTACATAGAAAACAGCTATTTTAACCAGTAATAATATTTCACAATATTACTTGTTTATTTAATTTGTACTCCCTTTGAGCTAAAATATATTGGTTGCATTTCTAAGAGAACACAAATAGCAACTGTCTGCAGTTATTCCAGTGAGAATACAGTGACAAAAGAGGACAAGAATAGCTGTGAGGATTGATAAATGTGTTTGTAAGTGTAAATGTGAGCGGGTTGAAACACGCCTGAAGTATCAGCTCTGCTGATAAACCCATGGCCTCTTTTCAAGCGTTTCTAGGCTCTGTTCAGCCTTTATATAAGATATTCTCAAAGCTTCAGGTCTTTGGATGTGTTTCACTGTGTGTCGTACCTGCTTTATAACTCCTTTTTTTAACAAGCTTCCCTTTTTTGCAGTCATCACAAAATAGTGAGTATCATCTTTGTAGTAGACAATGTTCTCTAGATCAACGCCTGGAAAACATGACAAACGACAGGACAGAGAATAAAGTGTGTGTGGGCTTACTTTTTATATTTTGGAGACAAAACTGGGTAACACTTTATTTGAAGGTGTCCTTGTTACACGCCACATGTACTTACTATTATAATAATAATTAGTTATGCATAATTACATGCAAGTAACACTAAGCCAAACCCTAACCCTATAGTAAGTACATGTCATTAATAAACATTACTCAGTACTTAAATGTATAATTACACTGTAACAAGGACATCTTAAAATAAAGTGTAACCCAAAACTGTTCTTAATAGCTAAATTGAACAAAAAGGAAAAAGTGATTTCTAAATATTTTTTTTCTTTTTGAATGTAAACCGTCTAGACTCTATGGTGTATTCTCAGTGAGATGAAGTAACTGTGAGTCTGTACCGATCTCAGTCTGGAGCGCCTGGAAGAATTTCTGGTTGTATATTCGGGCCACACCGCTGATCTCCTGCACCTGAGCCTCTTGTTTAGTGTGGCGGTTTACAAAGTTTGCAGTGATACCGATGGCTAACTTTCCCCTGAGCTCCTTTATCTTAAAACCTGAAGTAACATGAGGAAAACAACAGTGAGAAAGTGTCATTAATAAAAAGTTAAAAAGAAAGATTTAAATGCATTTAATAATATAATAAAAAATAATAAAAGTATTTAGTACAAAGTGACTGGGATAGGTTTTTACAACAATATAACATTTTTATTTTTTTATTACATTTAATTAAAAATAAAATAAAATAAACAATAAAAAGTACTTCGTACAAAGTGACTTGGATAAGGATAGATTTTATAAACATTTTTTTTTCGTTCTACAAAATAAAGTAAAATAAAATTTGTTTGATAGACTCACCTTATAAATAACTAAAAAAAATCGTTCAAAGTGACTTGGATAAGGAGGGTTTTTATAACATAAAACATAATTAATTATGAATATAAAATAAAAAAATAAAATAAAAATAAAAATAAATTAAATTAAATTAAAGTATTTCATACAAAGTGACTTGGATAAGGATAGTTTTTAGAACAAAAATTCTTTAATTTGTTTTCATTTTTTTCGTTCTACAAAATACAGTTAAATAAAATTTGTTTTATAAACTCACCTTATAAATAAATAAATAAACAAACAAACAAGTGACTTGGATAAGGAGGGTTTTTACAACATAAAAATAATTCATTTTTAAGATAAAAATTTAATGTAATAATAAAATAAAAAATAAAAAATAATAAAATACTCAAAGCTTTAAGTACAAAGTGACAAAGTGAATTTCATGGAATCCACTCGTCTGCGTAAATGTTTTACCATCCGGCACATATCTTCCCCCTCCAGCTGAAATAAAAACATCAAACTCAAAAGCAGCAGCTGTGTGGGACGCAGGAGACACCTGTGCCCTCCATCCTGAGAGACAAAAAGAGAGAAAGAGAAATGAGACTAAAAGTTACGTTTATCTACACGACTGCAGATCTTTCAATGTCCCGTGACAACTAAAGCTGGTTTGTACCTGTGGATCCTGATGGTTCCCGCAGACCTTCAAAGGTCACACCTGTGTGCACCTCGACCCCCAAAATCAGGGCCAGTTTCAACAGAATCAACTGCAGCTGACGGATACCTAGAGAAACACAGACCTCACTACTATACCTCAATTTAAGTTATACATTATAAGAAAATAACTTCTTGAAGTTTCACTTTGACTATATTAACTTTCTTAATAGACCTTCCTGGTCCTATTGTAAACAATTCATTAGTGCACACACTATTCTAAACAAATGTGACCCTGGACCACAAAACCAGTCATAAGGGTCAATTTTTTTAGTTATATATCATCAGAAAGCTGAATAAATAAGCTTTCCATTGATGTATGGTTTGTTAGGATAGCACAATATTTGGCCGAGATACAACTATTTGAAAATCTGGAATCTGAGGGTGCAAAAAAATCTAAATATTGAGAAAATCGCCTTTAAAGTTGTCCAAATGAAATTCTTAGCAATGCATATTACTAATCAAAAATTAAGTTTTGATATATTTATGGTAGGAAATGTACAAAATATCTTCATGGAACATGATCTTTACTTAATATCCTAATGATTTTTGGCATAAAAGAAAAATCTATAATTTTGACCCATACAATGTATTTCTGGCTATTGCTACAAATATACCCCAGCGACTTAACACTGCTTTTGTGCTCCAGGGTCACAAATGTTTTCATAATCTTTCATCAAATGTAATAACTTGCCATGCCTCTAAAGCGGATTCCCTGTAGGCCAGAGAATATATTAACCAATAATATCATATTTGAACATTTCACAATCCAATCAAATCTTGATAAATTCCTGCCACAATTTTTTTTTTTTTTGTGCGTGCTGAATGACATTTCACTCAGAAATACTCTCAAAAATTCAAAGGTTTGAGGTCGGAAAGATTTTTTCTTGAAGTAAATTAAAACTTTTGAAATTCATCAAAATGACAGTCAATACATTTATAATGTTACAAATGATTTTTTTCTTTAAATAAACACTGTTCTTTTGAACTTTTTAATCAAAGAATCCTGGAATAAATGATCACATTTTTACAAAAATATTAAGCAGCACAACTGGTTTTAACATCAAAAATAATAAATGTTTCTTGAACAGCAAATCAGCATATTAGAGTGATTTCTGAACGAAATTTCAGCATGGCATCACAAGAATAAATTACATTCTGCAAAATAATCAAACAGAAAACAGTCATTTGATATTGTAATAATATTTCTATTTTGACCATTTTTTAACAAATAAATGCAGTCTTGGTGAGCATAAGAGACTTCTTTCAAACATATATTTATTTCAGATATTCTCAAATCCTTGGGTCTTTGAATGAATTTTGGAAGCAAAATTTGGTTATGACTGTCATTCACGTTGACTGATTAATTTGGTAAACTAAAACAACAACAAAAACCCAGCAAAACATATAGATGCTCACTTATGTGATGAATGGATCCACTGCAGAATCTGCCATAGAATTTCTTTGCACCAAGGTTGAGAAGGTCTCGAATGGTGTACAGCCACAGATGCAGGATGTTATTCCTGGTGAAGGACGCTCTTTTTTCCAGTACAACTACCCGAGCACCTAGCAGAGCCAATTCGATCGCTGTCCTGAGACCACATGGACCCGCACCCAGCACTAAACACTAACACAGAGAGAGAAACTGGGTTACATTTCCCAGCGTCAAACAACTTTATACATGGAAATATCTGACATTTCTCAGGTCATTTATGGTACCTTGTTTTGGTGACACGCCTGGCCCTGTTCATAGTCCAGATGGGCGGCTCTCTTGTCGATCTTCTGCCAGAGGTCTTTGGCTTTCCAGTAGTTGAGTCTGTCCTTCAGCTTGCTGTAGAAGTGCTTGTAGTCCCTGGGCTCGACCTCCAGGTGGCGGCAGAGTTCATTGAAGTTCTGCTGTGTCTCTTTACATGTCTGCGCCTGGACAAAGCGTTCAAACAGAGCGTGGCTAGGATCGACAGAGTCGGGCTCGTTGGCCATTGTTATGGGAGAGGCCTGGAGCCTGCTAGATGAGCTGTGGGGACAAGAGAGTGTTTACAAAGAGATTTCAAACAAAAAGCGCGTTACAAAAGTCAACTCTGACTTAAAAGGTTTTTAAACAACCACTGAACATTAATTTTGATGTGTAACTCAACCAGTATTTGTGCTACAAGAAGGAAAGATATCTCAAATATCTCAGTAATTAGAATCACAGTTTACATTTCTCATTTTTAAGTCGCTTTATTAGATAAAAGCCTTTGCTTTTATTATTTTGCTTTTAGTAATTGTAATTTCCACCTGGTAAACAGGCAAATAACCCTAAGGAGAGACCTGAGTCATATCTAGAAACCACAATATCATATAGAGATGAGAATGTGATCTAACAGCCTCTCAAAATACCCGAGCACTAAAAACACCTTGGCAACCACCCAACACACAATAGGAGTTCTGCATGAAAAAGCAACACCTACGTTTTTTCTTTAGAAATATATATATTTTTTTTTCTTTTTTTTTTATATTTAAAAAAAAAAGACTTGTCTTGGCTGATATATTCCAGTTTAACTGATAGTTCACTGGAACTAGTACGGATAAGTTCTGGGAAATTAATGGATGGATTTTCAGTGTGAACAAATCCAAAATCATAGGGGTGACAAAGAAAGCAAGACTGATTAAATAACAAAACATTCTGTCATAATTTGTATCAAGAAGCCTCTCTCTTCTGCATTTAATTTGTCTGAATTGCTTACTGTCACGACTATGCTTCTGCAACAGTTCATTTATAATATAAAATGTATGTATCTACATGGTTTCTGCGAGTTTTCTGAAGTAAAGATAATTTAAGGAATAAATGAAAGGGAACATAATAATGAAAATCAAAGTTTGGAAAAAAAGTGAAAGTAAAAAGTGAATTTATGATTAAAAAAGGGGCAAAATATCTGCCAGTGGGCTCAGAACAATCAACTTAATTCAAATGGAAACAAGTTAATAAACTAACTTAATTCAGATCAGTTTCTCATGGAGCAAGAGTTCATATGTTCAGTTTGCACCTCAAGTAAAGTATAACTTGATTTAAAGATGTTTAGATATTTGTATTGTAAACAAGGCAAAATACTGACATTTTAACAAAACATGAAACATTAAAGCGGTCATGAACTGCCTCTGTTTTTTAGTTTGTACTGTTCTCTGAAGTCCCATATAATGTTATCAAGATTTTGACATCAAAATACATCATAATTTAGAAGCAATAAGCTATTTTCTGTCCTGTTTTTAACCCCCCTCATCAGAACGCTCTGTTTGAGTAGGCGTGGCAGATTGTAGACTCGGAAGTAAACGCCCACTGCTGTGATTGGCTAACATTTGTGTATGTTTGACAGTAGAGGTTAGGGATGCACCGAATATTCGGCAACCCAAATTATTCGGCCGAAAATAGCAAAAAAATCACTTTCGTTGTTCAGCCGAATAAGCGAAAAGGCCGAATAATATGTACCGAACAATGATGAACGTGATCAAATAGAGGCACGCGCTAATGCAGCAAACATGTCGGCAGTGTGAAAGTATTTAAAACTATCAGAGAAAGACGCAGAAACCATTACAAGCACGAAGCACCGACAGCGAGAGACTGTTTAGTGCTGCATCACGTCTCCGATGAGAAGATGGGGTGGCTAATGCTGGTGGTTAGGTTACTGTATGAGGATTGAAATCGCGAAATGGCCTCAAACGATTAGTAAATAAACTGCAGAATGTTATATTTTCTAATGCACGCACGAATTGCATGTATTCTGACAGCGCTGCACGAGCTCGCGGCGCCAGGGTTCAAAGTCCAAAGCGCGAGGAAAATCTGCTGAAACACTGTTACTCGTCAGTTGCTCGGTAACATTTTTGTGAATTTTTTAAAGGCATGTGACAATGTGGTACTTGTGACAAACATCTTCCCAAATTCATAATGAGAATCATTTATAAATCTGCATGCTGTTGTCAACAAAAAGAAGCCAAAATAAAAGCAACAACTCCATCAACATTCATAAATGTTAGTATTGCAATTTTACTGTCGTTCTGTAAAATAAAATAAAAAAGTAAATCAATAATAATGATAACAATATCAAAATAAAAGCTGAGAAAAAGCAACAACTCCATCGACATTCATAAATGATAGTATTGTAATTTTACTGTCATTCAGTAAAAGAAAATAAAAAAGAAAATAATAATGATAATAATAATTACCCTACAACAGCACTATTAATACGTTTATTATAACATTCACACATAGTGTTCAAATTGAGATCTGTAATATATTCTAATGTTTTAAAAGAATTCTCTTCTGCTCAGCAAGGCTGCCTTTATTTGTACAGTAAAAAATACATGCCTGATTCAAGTCTCAAAAATGGTCAAAAAATATTATTTTACTAACTTATTAATTTTAAGTTAAATTGTGCTTTGTTGGTATAATGTCTGCTAGAATGTTAAAAAAATGCAATTTAATTAATGCAATGGTGAAAAAAAATGGCAAAATAGGCCTACATGGGAGAAAAATTTGAAAAACCGTGTTCGGTATTCAGACTTCGGCCCAGTGTTTCATTTTGTTCGGCTTCGGCCAAGAATTTTCATTTCGGTGCATCCCTAGTAGGGGTGCTCCGATTGATCGGCTACCTATCACTACCGGCCGATAATCACTTTGGGATGATTGATCGGCGGTCTCTATAAAGGCCGATCTCAAAAAAACGATTTCAAGCTGATGACGCACCTGCCGTGAGAAGGTTTGGCAAAAGTAGCTAATTTGAAAACTTTCTGTGAGACATAATTTCACAAACACCGTAAGTGAATCACAGCGCACGCTCTCTCTTTCTCTCAAAATATTCTAATGTCTTCAGTAGGGTTGCCACTAACGACTATTTTTATTTCGATTAATCTATCGACTAGTTTATTTCAAGCTGATGAAATGCTGATGAAAACGCGGGTACAATAATTGTAATGCTGAAGTGAGGTACAGTTCATATTTATTCATTAAATAACTAATAAAGTAGCTAATTTGAAAACTTTCTGTGAGACATAATTTCACAAACACCGTAAGTGAATCACAGCGCACGCTCTCTCTTTCTCTCAAAATATTCTAATGTCTTCAGTAGGGTTGCCACTAACGACTATTTTTATTTCGATTAATCTATCGACTAGTTTATCGATTAATCTACACGATTAATTCCCCACAAAAAAATCAACAATTTTAAAGAACATTTTATTAAACCTGCAACTTTGCCATTCAGTAGTGTACCATAAAAAAGTATAAATGTAAACAAGCCATTGACAAAATGTAAAACTAAAAGAGTAAAAATGTAAACAAACCTAATAAAAATTAAATAAAAAGAAAATAATTACAAAAGTCTGAGAAAGTCAGCATGTTCTTAATGTCAATATATCCACATGTTCTGGGATTCTGTTCATTACAGCTGTGAGTGCAACTACAAAGGGAAAAAAATATGTTTCAATTAACCCCAACAGTTGGGTTTTCACATTAAATAAATCCACTGTTTAGAGTCTACTAGAATCAAGTATTAAAATGTTATTTTTAAAAGTTATTATTAAAACATTTAAGCATTAAAAGTACTCTTAGAAATGTGTAAACAACAGATTTAAACAGACATCTCCAACATGATGAAAAAAATGAACAGAGGACTTCAGTAGTGAAACTCCAAATGAAATCCAAATTTCTATGAAATCCTTTTTTAAAGAAAAATTAAAGTGCAACATAGAGTGCAAGAAGCAAGTGTCCATCTCATAGTCCAAATCACTGAAATCAAAGTTCAGTATAGTGTAAGAATGACAACATGTCCACGGTGTTCTGGTCTACTAATAATAAAATATTATAATTAATAATTATTTTTTGTGGTAATAAAAATAGATGTAGGTTAAGTGAACAACAGCCTTTAAATTTACTTAAAATACATATATAATAGCAATGAGGCAATAATAATTAGTTCAAATAAAGTATCAAAAGCAAGAAATCATATGGTTTTATTGAACAAAACTGTTAAAATACTGTATTATAATGTAATAGAGCCACTGATCTATATATAATTATAAAATAATATAATCTCTATTATAGATCAATGAATAGAGCTAACGTACAGTACGTATTACAACAAAGGCCTGCAGGGGGCGCCAACGGCCTGATGATTATTTTTACACATTACTATGCGATCTAATACTTGTTTAATATTGACCAAGCATCATTTAATTAAAATGTCCACTTAATCTTTAATATTTGGTCATTTCTTTAGGACAGAAATGCTATAGCCACTGTAATTTAATGAATATGTGGACATCAAAACGTGTAAACTCAGAGTGAGGGTTTGAACTTTTATTTTGAAACCGCGAGATAATGATGTATTCTCCTGTGTTTGCGTGGATTTATAAATTATTTACCTTACAAATCTGATGAAATGGCGCACGTTGCATTCCCAGATGAACGTTATAATAAACCCAAACTCACAACAACATGCAGAGATGGAGTTTGAGACGCTTCACACATGTAAATTCCTTTGGAACAGCATTTACTGTGAACAGATCCGCTGTGAGACGCACGTACGTAACCTACATGCCTATAACTGCATCACATATAATTATTTAATTAAATCGTAGCATTTGTGAATTCACAGTTATGCTTAATTATGATTTTTAAACGGGTTTAATATATCATGAGGCCTTGGAAAACGGTCTAATAATGTGTTTTATGGATTCTTGTCCGTGAAATGTGCCACTTCCGGTATTTTGTCGGTTAGTCAACGCAGGCAAAATTAAGTCGAGGATTTAAAAAAAAATCAAATAGTCGAATAGAACCAACGAATCGCGACAGCCCTAGTCTTCAAATCACCACATCGCGTGTGCACTATAAGCGAGCTGCACGCTGCAGAGTTGACACAGGAATTGTCACTTGCACAATCGAGGCAGTGTCGCATCGTCACTAAAGTTTATAAATTGCATTTCTTTTTTATTCTTGCCAGTGTTTGAACCATTCAGCGCTTGCGCGTTCTCCTGTAGACC